TCTCCTCTCTCTCTCTCTCTCTCTCTCTCTCTCTCTCTCTCTCTCTCTCTCTCTCTCTCTCTCTCTCTCTCTCTCTCTCTCTCTCTCTCTCTCTCTCTCTCTCTCTTCTCTCTCTCTCTCTCTCTCTCTCTCTCTCTCTCGCTTCCTCACCTGCACGTCTCGCTTCGGATCCTTTCCTCCACCTCTCTTTAACTTGTCTTTTCTTCCCTCCCTCTTGGCCAATTCTGTTTTTCCGCCTCACGAATTTCAAGTGTTTTGTGACAATTCGCGCGCGGCTAGATATTCGTCGACCGATATACAGAGTGCAACGCTCGAGTTGGAACGATCGAGCGAAGCATCGGTCAGATTTGTAATGTAAATGTAATAGCATTTACGGTTCAATCGTGCACAAAATCATGAGACTTGACATAAAGTTATTTATGATTATTACTATTTATTTATTTACTTATTTATTTATTTATTGCTTCGAATGCTATCCGACTGTCCATAATAAAGTAATCGACGAGAAGCGAAATTATTTCGATGAAAACCTTTCCCATAGTAGTTTCCCAGTGGACCTATTATATACGTGTGACACGCGAATTGCGAATTAGCGTGTTTCCGACAATGTACCGTATATGTTTTTAAACAATTGCAAATCTCTTTTGAAATTAGTGTATTGTCGCTGACGAAATAGATGATTTTTCAATTATGGATGACGCGAAGGCTATCTCGATTGAAAAACCAATTCTCCATATTTTTGCAATGGATCGAGAGCTTTCTAATCATTTTAAAAAAATCGTGAATGTTCATGGTAGAATAACAATTGAAAAATGAGAGTACTCCTATCAAATAGTTTTTCGAACGGTAACATAATAGGTCCCCAGTGCGATCAATTTGTTTCAATTTTTCACGAGGACGTATTTCACATCGTCACAAATTTCAATTGAATTTCGAATTAAAAAATCCAGGAAATTAAACAAAATATAAACAGAAAAATGCTTACTCAATAATCTATTCTTTATTCTTTTTTCCTTGGCAAATAATTATCAAATTTATGAATCCTTGAAATCTACGATTAAAAGTTGTTTAAACTATATACTCATAAAATTATATGGTACATAGTACATATATAAATTATCTTTTTTATAATATTAAATCGCAAGACATCTTAATAAGATAAATTATGGAAATTGTACAACATAGACATGCAATTTAATTGCAAGAAAAGATAATTCAGAGATTTTTAGCAAAGAATATCACCTCGACGATTATAAATGCATTCTTTATTCCGAACATTCCGCAATATAAAAAGAAACCCTTCTTCTGTACGATACTATAGAATTCTTCTCTCGCGTCGCGAATAAAAATTTATCCCCTCGGGCCGATCGGGAAGAAGTAATTTTGTCCTTTTAGATTGGACGAATTTTGCCGACGCGGCAGCGAATTTCGCGGCCTCGCAGACGATCATTTGTCTCGCACATCGCCCGCTCGGTTCCGCGTTCCATCCGCGTCGCAAGTCAGTGCGTTCACCTTACGCTCGCGAGCGGAGATCTCGCGCGTGCGCGCGCGCGCGCGCGCGCATACGCGAGAGGATTTCTCTGGGAACGCGCGATCGCGCCGAGCCACGTGCTCGCGCGATCATTGAACGTCGCCGTCGAGTCGATCCACCGACGATCGACACCGCACGAAGACACGCTCTTCACCTGAGAAATCAGCTTCCCACATCCCGCGCGATTCGTCTTTCGCATCTTTCGTCATCGTCCTAACACAAACTTATTTTAGAAACTTATTTTAGACTATCGTGAAAGTTAAGGCAATTCAGAATAACATTGAAGAAGAATAACATTAACGTATCAATCACTCGCTTCTCTAACAATCGCTAGAGTACATAATAAAACAAATATTCCGAAATATATATAGTAATCGCCGGTTTTCGCTACGTCTATGCTCGTCTCAGTCATTAAATTACTTTAATGAATATTCTACTGCTTAATTTTTCATCCCGTTGCCATTCGTCCCGAAAGCTATAATTAACTTACTCTATGATTTACTTTGACGTAACGCTTTCTCTCTCAATTTTCGTCTCGTCTAATCCGAAACGATTGTGTAAAGGTTCCTGTTTATGAGATTTCCATTACGAGAGATATATATTTAATGAATTGGACACCCGCGCGAAATGATGGTAATTTCATAATTTCCCGCAATCGACACCTCGAAATAACGCGAACTCGCTCCGCTTGCTTGCGCGCTTCACGAGACAATGAGGTATGAATGAAAGCACAATGAACTTTTGCAATTTCCTCGGTAATTATTTCCTCCCGTCGGTCGTGCGCGACTCAAACTGTGAATAAAGGCGATACGCGAGTAACGCTGCACATTACGTATTTTACCTGCACGAACGAATTCCGAAGCACTCACCGATGTTCAAACTCTCTTCCGGCAAGATTTACCACTGTGTCACGGTAATTCGGTCCAAGACGTAATCCACGAAGGAAAGCAAAAGACCTTCGATCGATCTCTTTCGAAGCCCTTCTCGACACTCGGACAAGTTTATTCACAGTCACGAGTTTCTCGCGCAAAATCTCACGCGGATTTTTAAAACGACACTTCGGAATCCTGAGGCACGACCACACTGATTGAACTATGACTTCAACGGTCACATTCTCTGATAAGAAGTCACGTAGCGCGTCGTCATTTAAAGTACTTGACGTCGACGGTAGAAAGTTATCCTTTAAAATATCATCTTGTTCGAAAAGATAGAAAAGGTATCATCTTCCGCGGATGTTTGCTCGAAGCTCCGTCAGCTCTCGTGACTCTCGTTAAATAGCATGCGACCACGCCGAGATCACCGGATATCACTCACTGGTCCGACGAGATCGTCGCGATCGGCACGTATCGGTTCGGAGCAGAACCACCGAGTGCTTTACTCCCGTCCGAAGGTACCGTCCACGTGACGGCGCAACCAAGCGGAGGCGGAGGCGGAGGGCATTCTCGGGGGAGGATAGACGGGGGGAGGGATGGAGAGGAGTGCGCACGACACCCCTGTGCTGTGAGAAGTTCGCTAAGTACCGATCGGACGGAACGTTTTCCGCGAGAGCGTGCGCGATCACGTGCGTGCGCGCGGTCCGCGAGCGTGCGGCGCGTCGAGCCCGCTCGTTCTCGCGCGAGTGCCGGGAACGGGCCCTCCGCCGCATGTTTCCCGTGCTCCATCCTCCTCTATCGCATTCGGCCGGGCTTCTCTCTTTCCCGTTTAATCTCCCTTCCTACGTTCGCGCTGCCTTTCTCTTTCTCTCTCTCTCTTTCTTTCTCGCTCGCTCGCCCACCGAGTAGTATGGTTCTCGGCTTGTTCCTCTCTCTCTCTCTCTCTCTCTCTTCTTCTACTCCTCCCTCTCTTAGGACAGCTTCTTCATCCTCTCCTTGGTACAGGCCGCTTACTCGAGAGCGCTCACCTGTGAGGTAAGTAAAGCCGGCGTTCCGTCGTACATGTTACGACATTGCGCGATGGGGAAGGGATAGAGGAAAGGATGAGGAAGGAGGAGAGACAGAGAGAAATAGAGAAAGAGAAAAGGAAAGAGTGAGCGGGAGGTGTACTCCGGAGGGACAAGGAGGTGGTTGGAGGTGGCGATGAGGGAGAAGGAAAGCGAAGGAGACACCAGGAGGGTGGACGAGGGATAGGAAGAGGAGAGGGGAACGAGAAGAATTAAGCGAACGGGTCGGAGGTGAGTCCTGAGGATGGAAGGGGTTGCAGCAGCGGTGATGGAGAAGACGAGGGGGGCGAGATCGAGGGAAGCCGGAGGTGAGCCGTGTCGTGGAGGATCGCGTCCGTCCGATAGGGATAAAACGTGGACCGACCGATCTGACGTGGTCGCCGCCGCGACTGCAGTGGGGGGTTAAATCGCGGGACGCGGCAAGTTGGTGGTGGGGATCGCGCGCCGCGCGAGTGGACCAACTGGGTTCGCCAGCAACACGCGGTTCATTGACCGAGAAGTGCCGGGAGAGCCGAACGAACGTACGAACCAACGGGCTCTCTCTTTCTCTTTCTTTCCTCGAGCCCGCTACTAAAACAGAATTCGCGCTGGCACTTTGTCCGCCGGTGCGCTCTTAGACAAGCACGGCCAAAGGAAGACGCGATAGATATCCGTCGAGGGTGTCAGGGGCGACAAAAGACGCATTAGCGATCCGCGAGGAGAGTTTACGAGTCACGAGGAAGACGAGGAACGCTGAATTACCCGAGGCCACGCTCGGTCGCTCAAGCGACTTCAGTTTGGAAAGGGTATTTGCGAGGAAGAGTGTTTCTGAAGAATTTTTGATAAGACACGAGCCAAAACGCTCCACAACACCGAGAAACTAAATCTTGGTTAATCTTGGTAATCGAACGTTTTCTTTAATATTTTAAAAATTCGAACAACGTCGTGAATGTTCTACATTTGTATTGAATGCATTATAATCATATTCGTATAACATCTGTGTGTATATTAGAGCCGTATATTCAGGATGTACTCAGGACGATACATTATTTTTCATATATTTTCTAGATGTACTCAATATATCAATATAATATAATCATTTCTCGTATATTCTCAAAGTGTATTCAGAATACTCAGACGGTATATTTCTCGCATATTCTCAGGATCTACTTAAAATATTTACATGACATATCGTCGATCGTATATTCTCAGGATTTCTCATACAAAGCTGCGATTTTTATCTCGTCGTGAAATTTTCATATTTTCTCACATAATTCTCCCTGTTAACAAAAATCTTTTTGCCGACGAAACAATTTTGAACCAATTTTGACATCTAAATCTTCGTTAAACATTATACATAACGAAAATACGCTGAGACTTTCAATAATAATCAACGATCGGTTCAGGCTCTATTCGACGAAAGCGAAGGGAGAAAAAGGAGGGAAAAAGAGGAAACTATTGCCATCTTAGACACATGTAATGTTATCCCGCGTTCCCAGAATGGTAAGCAGCGCGCTGGTATCGGCGCGGCCGATCGTGAACCGTAGCGGTTCGATGACTTATTTCCACGATCGGCGCAACGACTGCGCGTTTCCTGATCGAGGTGGACCTCGGGAGGGAGGCCTCGGCCCGCGGGGGCAGGCGCGCGGAGGAGATGCGGCGAGCGTTTAAGGGAGAAAGGGATGAAGTCCGGCGTAAGTAACTTCGCGGACGGGACTACCGTCGTCGGTGTGGTCGCGCAACACGGCGCACACTTGTCGGGAAAGGAGATGCGCGGCTCCGCGGTATAATGAACTTGGGAAACCGGTTGCATTCGCGCGAGCGCGAGCGCGAGCGCGAGCGTACGTACAGATCGATTCGCTCTTCCTCTGTATTTGTGCGTTACATTATGCGAGAGCCGCGCGCTGCATTTCCCCTCATCGAGCTTTCGCGCCGCCGCGCTCCGCTGCGATTCATTCGCGAATATAAACTTTCGCGCATACCCTTTGTCTGCCTCCTCCCTTTTCTCACATTTTTTTTCCTCCTTCTTTCTCTCTCTTTGGATTGCGACTTGGATTGCGTTTCCCGATGGAAAACTGTAATACTCGTAGAGATTGATGTCTTGCCGATTGATTTTGTTGATGAGTAAATGACGGGCAAGTCGCTTTAAGTGACTCACTTAGTATTAAAAGACTATATCGTGAAGATTGTCATCCATTAGTTTAGTGACTGAATTTAGAAAGGAAGTGTGTTAGGGATCAACGGTGCGAACTGAAACATGACAGATAATCAATAGCATCATATATATATATATATATATATATATATATATAATAATCTCTTTGTAAAATTCTCCTTTTTTTTTTAACGCAAAAAAAATCTTTAATACCTAATTTATATATTTTCGTTACATTTTTCATTCTCGAAATGCAGTTCGACAATTTATACCGTTAATTAAAACAAATACATATGAAACTTCAATATCAAACATCTGTTCTACAAAATATTCAATTTAATAGATTAAGAGATATTCATAACGACTGATTTTTAATTTATAATTTATCCCGTTGTGTGCGCTTTTGAAATGCGTTCTATAAACCCATCTGATTTATATGAAGGTGAAAGTTATGATGACATAATCTCCTCTCTGTATCGAATCTCGATGTAATCAAGACGTGAAAAGTCTCATTAACATTCGAGGCGAATTTGGTTAAGTAATTGCACGATTGTGAGAATTCTCCGCGGGGAAAATCGTTGCGTACGTAAAATCGAGAATGCAGAATTGATAGCGATCTCCGATGCATCGATTTCTTAATGGAGGAACAAGGAGCAACAACAGTAAAACTGTTCGATCACGGTACGGTGACGGCTTAACGCCTCCTCATTCAGCGAATACACTGTTATAAGTTTATACTCATAATTATAGAGCGCCGGGTCTTATGTAATGTGATAATAATATATCGCTATCTCTTCGCGACCTACATAAAGAGATATTCTTATAACGTAAATGCGTCCTTAACCCTCTCATTACTGAGAAACGCGACTTAAATCATATCTAATTACATCGATAAGCAAACTAAGTTGAATTTGCGGAACATAAACATTTTTCCTTTTTTTTTTTTCCTAAAATTTCGCTAAAGTCAAAGTCAATCGACCATATTCGTAATCTTTCGCTTTTGTCATATTGTTTTAACGAATTATTATACAACACCCACTTTTATACACCACATATAAATGCCAAACAAAAAGGCATGAATACAGCACGAAGAATTATCTGTTTCTGATTTATCAGTAAATGTCGAGAGACACATTGACCTTTCGATGGACGATGGTCGGCGACGGATGGGGACCGGCGACTAATTGGCTATCAACCGGAGAATTTCACCGGAGAAACTCCAGAAATTCTCCCTCGGCAGCCAATTGCCCATTAAGGCGCCATCCACCGATGACCAAAGGGTCAATCTTGGTCTGGGAGGTGCACTTCGTTTGGTGAATTCTCAACGTGCGTAGGGAACGAGAGGAAAAAAAAGCAAGAGGAAAAGAAAAAAAGGTCATCTTCAATTAAAGCGGAGCGCGCGAAGGAAACTTCCGGTCGCCGGAGATCTTCCGGCTTTCAGTAAACCGTTCCGGCGTGATAGAACCGTGGGAGGGAGCGTGGCTGGGGAGGGAGGGGGATGCGCAGCGTGATAAGGGGGTTGTAGCAAGCAGTGGTGGCGGGTTGGATTCGCGCGACGAGAAGCAGCGGGGGCTGAAACGAGGGGTAGGGGTCTGAAGAAAACACATAATAGGGTGGGGCGCTTTGCTGCCGCTTTTGAATCGATCCAACGCCAGCTACAGCTGGAACCTCATCCCACCGCGATGGAGGCAGCGGTGCTCATTCTCTCTCCTCTTCTCTCCCGCCGCCCTGTTATCGTCACGCGAGGGCTCATACGTTGTGTACGTTAATGTCCGAGAATCATGCGAGATCCTCCCACTGACGGATTCTCGAGACAATTCCACGTGGTAAACTTTTTCACCGCTGGAAACGTCATGAGAGATCCTCGCCTGCCGCAATTTCGACATTTATGTTCCCTTAGGTAGGTAAAACTCGTATGAAACTTCCTAGTTTACTTAGATCGCAAATTATACAAAAAAAACAAAGTATCGTTCTTATCTGTTTGCAACTCCTAAATTCTTATCGTTTATCTTCGATACCTTTTTATAAAATTGTATTTCTACAAAAATTAATCTTCTCGTGATCTCATGTCTCGACAATCAATATTCATGATATTCCTCTTGCACTTCTTATACTCGTACATTTCTATAGGCCATAACCGGTATGAGTGCATCCGAAACATCGAATATAAATAGGCCTGGTCCGCAGAAGCGATAGAGATTATTTTAAATCAGGTTTCGCAGGATTTCTGGGATAAAATTGCATATATGCAACGCACAGAATTTAACTAACAATGGATTAGTCTGCGTCTTTTAACTCATGGTTGCGTATGAAGGAAACCGGTTTGACGTGGTGAAAAGAAATTTTTTATATCTTTCAGTAATTTACGCTTTCTCTGATAAGCAACATTGAAAAAGTTTATTGGAAAAAGTTTATTGCGAAATGTATCACAGAAACGAAACCGAAACTCATTCAGCAACACGGATCTGGATGGAC